GTTGGGAAGATCGCGCGCCCCCCAGTGACCCTTCTCCTCTCTCCCCCCCCCAACAGCTCTTCCATATTGACTTTGGCCACTTCCTGGACCACAAGAAGAAGAAGTTCGGCTACAAGCGGGAGCGGGTGCCTTTCGTCCTCACCCAGGACTTCCTCATTGTCATCAGCAAAGGGATCCAGGAGTGCACCAAGACCAAGGAGTTTGAGAGGTGGGTGTCCGGGGGTGTGTGTCAGGAAGCTCCCCCCGCCCTGCCACAACTTGCTGAATGGCCTCCCACGACCCACCGAGGCCAATGGGGCACTCTCCCCCTCTGACCCTCTGAACCCCAAAGCCTCCTTGTGTCTCCGTAGGACCAGGCTCTGCTCCGTCCTCTCCTTCCTCTCCTGAAAAATGGGGTGGGGTGGGCTGGGGGTCTTGCAGCCGACTTCCAAGCGCCCTCTGCAAGCGGCAAAGGATGGGGTGCTTTCTTTTCAGACTTTGTGGGACACCGGCAGAGATCCAGAGTGGAGGCATTGCTATGGGCACGTAGTCTTCCTCTGGTCCAGTTGTGAGCAGCTGTGGCGGGTTCAGGGGCCTCCCTCTTACTCCTTTCCTGGACGTTTGCAGACTCTGCTTGCCCTCTTATTATTATTTTTCAAAAGAGGAAGTTAACAGAAAGTTTTGGAAAGTTGCAGGTAGAAGGAAGGTTGTTTCAAAGCGAAAAAGCAAAGTGTGCTGCTTACAGGCCAAGCCCTAGTCCTTAAAGCACTCTCTCAACCTGTTCTCCGTGATGCAGGGTGGACAGTTTAATTATGCAGGCTGCACATGGCCCACCTGTTCTCCGTGATGCGGGGTGGACCGTTTAATTATGCAGGCTGCACATGGCCCCCTAACAGCTAACTGGGGACTCAGCAAAGTGGGTGTTCTGTTTTCCAACTTTGGAAAGATGGAAGGCTGAGTGAACCTTGAGCCGGCGGCCTGGGCCCATGGGGATCGCACTCAGGTGGTGAGCAAGAGTCTTGGCTGCAGTACTGCAGTTTAACCACTGCACCACACAGCCAACCCCGTGCTCTGAAGTAACTTTTAGTTACTTTCAAATATTCTGGGCCAGTAGCAGGGACTCTGGGGGCAGAGCTTTGCAGGTTTGGACTCTGTGGCCACCCGTGACCCCCAGATGTGCCAACAGGGTTATTTCCAAGTCTTTTCTCTGGGGTTGAACCTTGGCCATCAGCAGAGTTTGGGCTGCAGTACTGCAGTTGAAACCCCTGGGCCAACAGGCTCCGAAAGATTGCGGGGGTTTTGGTGTTTTTTGGGGGGCTTGTGAGAAGACCATTAGATCCTTGGAGGTTTGTAGAAGCGTGATTGATTTTTCCCATTTTTAGCCCTTGTCTTGGGGGCCCCCGAGGACTTTGCAGATTGTTCTGGGGAGCTTTGGCCTTTAGCCCGTGGGATCCACACACAGGGTCCCATCCTCCCCAGAGACACAGGATCCCATCCTCCCCAGTCTTTACCACCTCGCCTTCCACCCTGAATGCTCTTCCTGGAACTGAAGCTCCCCCTCTCCTTCCCCTCCCCGCGGCATGCGCCTTGTCCCGGCAGGTTCCAGGAGATGTGCTACAAGGCCTACCTGGCCATCCGCCAGCACGCCAACCTGCTGATCAACCTCTTCTCCATGATGCTGGGGTCGGGCATGCCGGAGCTGCAGTCGTTTGACGACGTGGCCTACCTCCGCAAGACGCTGGCGCTGGACAAGTCGGAGCAGGAGGCTCTCGAGTACTTCACCAAGCAGATGAACGAGGCCCACCACGGTGGGTGGACCACCAAGATGGACTGGATCTTCCACACCATACGCCACATGCCCTTGAGCGAGGCGAGCCACGACTGACCGGCAGGCACGGGGGCGGGGGTGGGGGTGAAAGGAAGGGACCTTGGCCCCCCATGAAGAGAACGTCAGCCCTCGAAGACACAGGGAGAGGAGAGAGAGAGAGAGAGAGAACGAGACGGAGAGAGAAAGAAAGAGAGACCAAGAGCAGGGCTACCTTCCGCCAGGGGTGGGACGGAGGCAGGGGGGGGGGAAGGAAGCCCCTGGTTGAACTGAGGCCACCCGGTTCCTGTTTCTCTCCCAAATCCATGAGAGAAAGAGAGAGGAGGGGCCCAGGAGTGATGGTAGCGTGTGTGCCCGGAGGAGGAGGCGGCAAGGGAGGGCACCCCCCCTTGCCAAGGAATCAGAGGCTGAGAGAGGTTGAAGAGCGCAAAAGCAAACCCAGACCATCTGGTGGTTTCCTCCCGGAGACCGAGAGAGATGCGGGCAGAGCATCCTTGGTCCAAAGGACGGTGCGCAGGTTTCCCCCCCCGCTCTTCCCCGAACTGACACATGTTCCCTGCTTTTTATTGGCGGGCTAAGCAGGACCCCGATCTCTCCTGCCCCGCGGCAATGTTCAACTTGAACGTCCCCTTTTTCTCTCCCTTTCTTGGGAGACCCACGGCCAGAAGGTGGGGAGGAGAATGGGTAGGGGAGCTGGGGGAGGTTGGGTTGGGGGGAGGAACAGGGAAAGGAAGAGCCGGGGGCCTTTGGCGGTTCGGAAAAGGGGCAAGATAAACCGAAGTGGTCATACTTGAAAATGTCCAGAGTTGAAAAAGAAAAAAAAATATCTCTTTTTTTTTCCAAATAAAAATCTTAAAAGACCATTTTTTTTCAGGAGTGAGGAAATCCTTCTCTTTCAGTTTGGCGGCCTTTCTGGCGCTTTCTGTCCTGCGTTTTTGTCAGCTGCTTCTGTTTCGAAGGTGGTCTCAGCTGCTGCACCTCCAGAGGTCAGAACAAGCCAGGGTTTAAGCAAGCCAGGATCCCTAAGAGGCCAGTGAATGGTGGTTTGTGGCAGGCCAACGGTGCCTTCTCAGACGTAGATGCAAGTTGAGACATAACGCATAACCATGAGCAACACCATGGCTTGTTAGAACACACATTTATTTCCCTACCTTTTTTCTTAAAAAAGGACTCAAGGTGACTTATAACATTAAAATACCTTCTTTCATATACAATAATATTTAAAGTTAAAAACAGTAAGTACTGTATACAAGTATTTTAAAAGAATCAAATACTAAAAAAGATAAACAAAATCAACACCAAAACATTCAAAGCAGTAAGGTACCACCATCATTCATTAAAAACAACACCCAGGCAGCCAGTCATACAGGGAAAGCTCGCCTGAGGAAAAAAGTCTTCACCTGCTTTCAGAAGGACAGCCAAGATGGGGCCAGCCCTGGCCTCCAGTGGCAGGGAGTTCCAGAGTCTGGGAGCCACAACAGAGAAGGCCCTTTCCCACATCCTCAATAAGCACGCCTGTGAATTTACATTTCACTCACCTGGAAAAGGGCCTCTGTTCCAGGTTGTCCCGGACAATGTTTCCTCTAATTTTCCGGGTTGTGTGTGTGTGTGTGTGTGAGCGAGCGAGCGAGCGAGCGAGCGAGCGAGTGAGCCATTAGGGGCTGCCCTATATGTAGCGAATGGATAGCAGGACTACACCTCCCAGGGAGCCCTGGGACAGATTCAGGAAGTGGGAAACAGGCCTGGAAGGTAGGCCCTGTTCCAGGTGAGTGAAATTGTAAGTATGTGTAGGTGGGAGTCTGTCGGCAGGAACGCCCAGAATTCTGTCTGGGGAATTACTGGGATTATTCTGGGAGTCCAAAAGAAACCAACAAACCGGAATGGCATACACTGGAACAGGAGGTTCAAAGATCTGGAAGCCAAGCCGTTATGGAGAATGGTTTGGAAAAGGCTTCGGACACGTTTTGCCTGGAGAGGAGGGCTGAGGAGTGGCGCGATCGCCCTCTTCAAATACTTAAAAGACCGCCATGTGGAAGTCCCTAAGTTTGACTGATCAAAATGACAAGAAAGGAGAGTTTTGACTGAACGCGAGAGAGAATTGCCTGATGCTTCCGCTGTGGGTTTCCTGTGGACACAAGGATCATGGGCTTCGCTTCCAGCCTCGCCCTGAGTCCACCTGCCTGTTAGGGTCACGAACCCTCCTTTCCGCCATGTCGGCAGCAGCATCACCATGTCCTGTGGCAGCGAGTTCTTTATGCTGAATTTGTGTCGTGACTATGTGGCATCAGCTGTCCTGGATACACCTTCACGCACCCTTTTCCTCGGTACTTTTTAGGATCACAGAATCATGGAGTTGCAAGGGGCCTTCTAAGGCCATCCAGTCCAACCCCCCTGCTTCAAGGCAGGAACTCAAATCAATGCAGATCGGACAAGACGGTGGCCCCATTTTTCCTTGAATGGCTCCAGCGTTGGAGCGCCCACCACCTCCCCCCTGAGTTCATGGCTTCCGTTGTTGTCCGGCTCATACAAGTTGAGAAGTTTCCCCTGATATTCAGCCTAAAAGTCCTGCCCCCGTGTGGTATTCAGACTTGTTTTATTGCCTAGAATAGGTGGCATGAGATAAAACACAGCTGCCATTCTCAAACAGGGTTTGGCATCTTTATACGAAGGTAAGGGTAGGAGCAGGCATTGAAAAAAGAGCGCTGCGTGATCGTGCTGGAAAGGGTCCCCTCGCTGGAACCAAAGGGACCCTTCCATGCGCACAGGAATTGCTTAAACCGCCCCCCCCCAAAAAAAAGGGTGGCCTCTTTCTGAGCTGGAAAAGTCCAGACTGGGCAGGGTGGAAGGTCAGGCTGGTTTGCAGTCTCCTGTTTGCTGTCTGATCAGCAGAAAACAACTCACACCAGACCCTGGCCTGGCCCACAAGTGACCCAACAGGTGACCCACTGTATATCTTCACCTGAATGCACCCTAAATACCCCCAAGTAACGAACACATGCCCCACGCTTTATAGTGCAAACCACCTGTAAACACTGTTGTGTTCTCCCACCACTGCTACTTGGGGAGGTCTCGGGAGTCCCTCTCAGCAGGATGCATCTCTGAAAATAACAAGTTTGCCACCTGGTCATCATCCTCCAAGCGCCCATGGTCCAGGGCTGCACCGGATGAGCTGAACAAGAAGAGAGCCACACCGAGGTAAAAAGAAATAATTTATAGTGATCTCTGCCACTGATAAATTAACAAGGTTTCAGTTATTATTAACGAGGTCAATAAGGTGGATCGCCACATCGCACAGCAATAAAACTTTACAGTGATCACTGCCCCTGATAAGCAATTAAGCGGGGGGAGCTGGGAATCAGCAAAGGGGCAATTAACACATCAGGAGTCAAGGGAGGGGAGAGTCCCCCCCCCCAAAAGGGCAAAATAAGAGGCTGGAGGAATTCACTCTATTACATAGCAATAAATCGATTCAATCTATAGCAGACACTGCTGCTGATAAATTAGGAGGGAGAGGGAATTACAGGGAGGTAATTAACGAGGTGGGATAATTAAGGCAGGGGAACAGAACCACCACCACCCCGGCGGTATTGCATAGCAATACACAAACACTTTATAGCGACCCCTGCCACTGATAAATTTGGAAGAGAAAAGAGATAGAAACCGGAAGGGAAATAAGGAAGGAGCTGAGATAAGAGCTAAAACCCATATTCTCTCTGTGTGGGTTTTGCTGGAATTTGCTTGCTGAAATTAAAAATCTAAGGGCTGCAAAGTTGAATTCTTTCCCGGTAAGACATGCTTGTTAGATGCCCTTTGGATGCCCCGGATTACAAGCTCCTCCTGGAAGGATGGGAATTGTAGTCCAACCTTTTTGGAGGGCATGAGCTTGAGAAGACTGTGCTGAAAAACGTCAAGGGGGGGGCGGCGGACGGAGGACATTGAACATCTGGGGGACTTCCGTATTTCGGTTGGAACTTTATGGCCCCTTCTTTTAAAAGCACAGCCAGCTTGATCTCTGCTCCGCCATCGATGCTCCTTCCGGATATTTCCCTGCTGTCAGAAGTTGTTGTCGATATTCCAGACGTCTCCGCTCAAGGCGTTGGCCGCTCCCTGCAACGTCCAGGTGACCAGGGCCAGTTGGCGGCGGAAGAGGACCTCGTCAAAGGCCTCCGGAGCCTCTCGCAGGAGGTCGACGTGCTCCAGCAGGGCCCCCAGCGTGTGGGGCCCCCGGCCATGCAGGATGTGACGAAAGGGGGTCTCCGTGACCGACACGTACTGAGACAGGAAGTAGAATTCCACCTGGGGGTCCAGAAAGGGAGCTGTCAGTCGTGAAGACAGAACCCAAGGGCCCAAACAAAAGCTCGAAGCCATCCACGAGCCGCAGTGCAGAGTGCGAGACACCCCCAGGCTCCAGAAAGGGTATCCCAGGAAACAAATCTCCCCATCTCTGCTAGGGGTTCGGTGACGTTTACACAAGGGAGCACAACTGTGCACATGGAGGAGGGCGAAACATGCATCTCCCAATGGCTGCTCCCTTTTATTCCAGATCAAGGGGTCCTCTACGCATGCCACCGCTCTGTTCGGCCACCCTGGCAATGACGAACGTAAAGGGGAGGATAGGAGCATGCCGTGGGAACAGGATTCGGCCGTGTCTGGGCCACCCAGGGATGACACAGAAAGGGAGTACTGCTTCGGGGTTATTTCAGGACACACAAACTCAGGTATGCACATGTATGTCAACCTCAAGTCCACTCCCCCTGTGCAGCTAGGAAAAGTTACATTTTGGACTCCTCATCCGGGAATTCTCTGCCTAGAGAAACCTGCTCTGCTTTGGACGTTGTTCCACGTAGTTCCCCTTTCTAAGATCCAGGAGGGAGATATAGAAAAACCAAACCCAAACCCAACCACACAGAGTCCCGGGGAAGCCCCACGAATCTCGTTTCTCCTCACCCGCATAATGCGGACATTGTACATGCGCAAAAGCCTCTCGTTGTGTTCCTCCGAGCTGTAGATGTCCTTCCGCAGCTTGTCCGCCGCCCGCGTGTAGTCGCCTCGAGCAGAATACATCCACTGGAGGGTCAACCCACGGTTCTTGGAACGGGCGAGGGGATGACAAGGGTAGACGGAGCAAGAGGTTAAGCCGAAGAAGAAAGGAAGATTCCCAGGCCATGTGATGAGAAGGGAGACCGGGAGACGAGCTATTTCCATCTCATCACAGGGCCTGGGAATCTTCCTTCCACATACGTGTATGCCCACACAGACACACAAAGGATCATAAAATAATGGAGCGGAAAGGGTCTCATAAGGCCATCGAGTCAAATCTCCTGCTCAGCGTAGATGGTTGTCCAATTTTCCCTTGGATGCTTCCAACGCCGGAGCGTTCGCCACCTCCCCCCTGAGCTCATGGGTTCCCTTGTCGTACTGCTCTAACAGTTAAGAAGTTTTTCCTGATATTCAGCCTAAATCTGTCTTCTTTTAACTTGAGCCCATTTTCTCATGTCCTGCACACTGGGATGATGGAGAGAACAGATCCTGCCCTTCCTCTGTACGGCTACTTTTCAAGTATTTCAAAACAGGAAACAGAAAGAGTGGACCTAAAGCTGTACCTGGTTGTCAGAAGGCAGAGGCGATTTGGTTCGCCACCACCACAAACCAAGGTGCACACGGGAGCAACTGACCTCTCCGTGCTTATGGAAAGCCAAGCCTTCAAGGTTGCAGCTGTAGATTTTGGCTGTTTCAGATGAGGATGATGCCTTCTGAAAGTGCATCCTGGAGGCGTGTGCCCCCCCCCCGTGGAAACAATCAGCAGCCCACCATGTTGTGAGTTTGATCATCGTCACCTCCCCCGTGGAAACAATCAGCAACACACCATGTTGTGAGTTTGATCATCGTCACCAAGGGGAATAATGTGCTGGGAGGATGATCCAAAAGGGGGAATGCTCACGGGATGCTCCCTGATCGGAAATGCTGTCTTCCTTCATGGCTGATCCAAAGCCCCAGGTGGTGTGGGCAAAGGGAGAGCCGGAGGAGGAACCCCTGCGTGGTGGAGAGGCTCACAAACCCCTCTTCCACACACACATCCCATTACTAGAGGTGTGTGAAGGCAACCAGCTGGAGAAGGTCTCCCTGGACGAGCCGATCCCAAAGGATCTTTCCCTCCCGGCCACTCCTACCTTCAACTGGGTGAAGTATTTGTTGAACCGGCCAATGTGTTCCAAGAGGACGTCCCCATAGCACCAGTAGTCGAGGGGCAGAAGGTGGTCATGGGTCAGCTTGATCAGGATGTGGCCCACCACCTCGGCCACAGTCTTGGCCACGGCCGGAAGGCGCCCGTAGAGTGCGCGGTTGAGATTGTCATAGGTGTCTAGCATCGTATTGAGGAAGGGGTACAGGCGAGAGTTCTGTAAAGAGAGAACCAGTCGGCGATTGAGGGGCAATACCAAAATCAGATTGATTATATTCTCTGCAGCCAAAGATGGAGAAGTGCTATACAGTCAGTAAAAACAAGACCTGGAGCTGATTGTGGCTCTGATCATCAACTTCTCATAGCAAAATTCAAGCTTAAACTGAAGAAAAGAGGAAAAACCACTGGGCTAGTCAGGCATAATCTAAACCAAATCCCTTGTGAATACACAGTGGAAGAACAGATTTAAGGAACTCGATTTGGTGGACAGAGTGCCTGAAGAACTTTGGATAGAGGCTCGTAACATTGTCCAGGAGACAGCAACAAAAACCATCCCAAAGAAAAGGAAATGCAAGAAAGCAAAGTGGCTGTCCAACGAGGCTTTAGAAATAGCAGAGAAGAGAAACAAAATGCAAGGGAGATAGGGAAAGTTACAGAAAACTGAATGCAGACTTCCAGAAAAACATCTATTTCTGCTTCATTGACTGTGTGGACCACAGCAAACTATGGCAAGTCCTTAAAGAAATGGGAGTGCCTGACCACCTTATCTATCTCCTGAGAAATCTATATGTGGGACATGAAGCAACAGTTAGAACTGGATATGGAACAACTGATTGGTTCAGAATTGGGAAAGGCTGTATATTGTCCCCTGCTTATTTAACTTATATGCAGAATACATCATGCGGAAGGCCGGACTGGATGAATCCCAAGCCGGAATTAACATTGCCGGAAGAAATCTCAACAACCTCAGATGGATGGATGATACCACTCTGATGGCAGAAAGTGAGGAGGAATTAAAGAACCTCTTAATGAGGGTGAAAGATGAGAGTGCAAAAAACGGTCTGAA